TGAGGTTTAGCTGCCGGCAGGGCCTCCTGAGGAACCGGGCTTCCCACGGGTGTTTTCCGCCGGCAGCGCACCTCCTGCCAGCCGCTGTTCGGGCCCGGCGGGTCGGGCTTCAGTCCTGGGGTTAGATCCGCATGAGGGACGGGCTTCCCTCAGCCGCCCCCGCGGGCGGATTCTGTTTGTGTGTTTGAAATGCTTACAAGCGTCAATTGCTGTTGGGAAGTTTGGATTATTTTATTATTATTATTATACGTGTAATCCATATTTATTTAAAAAAAAGAGAAAATAATAAGTTTTAAATCGAAAGGCAACTGTGATCTTTATTCTCAGGCGTTTAGAAAGAAACTGGGGAGCAGAAATGTGCGTTTCTGTATGAGTAGCTGTGTTTAGGGTTCTCTGAGTCACTAGAGAGAGGTTTTAGGAAGGGAGGAAGTGTTACCTCTCATTAGAGCATTTCTCACAGTGTTTGTAGGTTGAACGCCAGTAACTCTTAACACAGTCTGCTCCAGAAACACTGTTCTACGCATTGAACTGGATAAGTATAATATCTATACTTATTATATCTGGGACTTCCTTTAGTAAACGTTGGTACAATTTCTTACAGCTTGTCTGAATTTTCTGAAGCTCTGCAAAGTCAAGTACTACAACTATTGTCTTATTTATAATGTACAGGTGAGTATTCTCAATTCCTTTTTTTTTTTTTTTGTTTAAATTCACAAACATGAAAGCAATATCTTGTATATTCTGCTTTGTGATAGAGGGATTTTATTATACAAACTGGTGACCCCATGGGAACTGGCCGTGGAGGGGAATCCATATTTTGGTAAGTAAAGCTTTTGTGCTACTTCATCGATAAAGAAGTTGTATAGGAGAATTTGGATTCCAATTGGATTGTCTTCAGCTATCTTAGGGCAGAATTAGTGATGGGAAATAGAAATGTCAATACATAGGTTTCTTTGGTTGTCTTACCTAAATAGCTTTTTAATTCCTATGCTGCCTTTGGCCATTCGGACTTTTTGTCTGTACAGTATTCTATCTCTGACCTTAGAAGCGAGGTTACAACTAGTAAGTTGTACACAAATTTCTGTTTATTTCGAAGTTAGCAAGTATCTATAGGTTTGCTTTTGCAAGAGAAGTATCATAACTAACTGCTCTGTAGAAGGGAAAATCATTAGCAGTTTGTTACTAATTTTATTTTCGTAACAAATGTATTTAATTGAGCCAGAGGGGAGTATAGAAGCTGTACCTGATTTCCTCTGTGTGTAAGAAAGCAATCCTGTTGCTCTAAAAATTTGAGTTCATTTTGTCGTGTTGAGTGTGTATTAGAAAATCACTTTTCTTCCTTGTTTAAGATGTTTTTAGTGGTCACGCACGTAAAAGTTGAAGAAATCATTCAAACAGCTAGGATAGAGGTTAGCAAAGTGCATAGATTCTACATGATTCCTTTGAAATTGGTATTAAAAGTAGAATTAAAATTGCAGAGCAGAACTAAACCTGGTGTGCTGGGGAACACAGTATACAGAGATAAACAGCTCAGTTTGAACAGAAGCAGTGTTGCTAGACCAATGTTGACTTTTGTAAGTCTGGTCCGTCAGAGCCTCTTAAATACAAAACCTTGAACACATGGATCACCACTCTGGTGATCCTGGAAGCAGTATAGTTGTGCTAAGCAGATGTAAGTCTAGGTAGGTAAACTTGCCAGACCGGAGCTGTCTCTGCACGTGGGTAGATCAAGTTTATTTTGATATTCTCCTCTTTTATAAGGATTGGTCTTCTGCATCTCATTGGTATGGCAGATAAGGAATTATAGTGTGATGAGAGAGTGGCAGGTTCTGTTCGGCTACTAGCTTGGAGGGTGGCAATTTGTTTTTTCTACCTGTTTGTTACTGCCAAAGTACACAAAATTGGAGTTTCTGGTCTTGCTACCCAGGAGACTGATGCAGGCAAAGTTTAATTTTAATCCCCTCTTCATAGAGGCTTACACCTGCTTATCAAAATGATTTCAAACACAACACTATCCTTAAATTTGGGCAAATGTGTGTATTGACCACGCCTCTGTTAATTATGGAGTGAGACAAAATGAGAGATATCAGGGTTAGACTTAAAAAATTAAAAAGAGTTTAACAATTTGCCGTATCCTGTGCATCTCAAATTACTGTGTGCTGTCCTGTCTGTATGACGAACTAAGTTTACACACAGATTTAGCGGCTTTCCATTTATCTTGGAAGAGATAAATGGGGCATAAATTATTACAGTGTAGATTAATTTGTTTTTACAGAACCTAGTTATCAAAATACATATTTGCTTCATGCCTTAGAAAAATGTTATTTGCTGCATTTAAAAGCATGCAAATAACCCCTTCCCCGCACCAAAAAAAAAGAGCCTCTGTGAAATGCCTCAGAGAAAAATCTATTGTTCCCTGTAATACAAAGTGAATTATGTAAGTGTACAGGTCCATAAAAATGTGCATGGATGTAATGTAAATTCTGGTTTTATTTGAATGCCAATGTAAAAATTTTTAAGATGTTCTATTTACTGTTTTACAGCATTTGTTTATCTCGCTTCTTAAAATTCTTTTGCCTTGTAACATGTGTATTATATATATTTGCAGTCAACTGTATGGCGATCAAGCTAGATTTTTTGAGGCAGAAAAAGTGCCGAGAATTAAGCACAAGAAAAAGGGAACCGTGTCAATGGTGAACAATGGTAATGATCAGCATGGATCACAGGTCAGCATACAGTGTTGGAAAGCCTTAGTACATGTCTGAATAACTAAAATGAAATTTCCTTGAATTCACAAGGAGGCATAAAAATGACAGTGTCATCTCAGTAGCGTCATCTTGTAATATGGTCAAAAAGCATGCCATAGATAAGTATTTTGCATTGTGTTCTGAGTGCCCATGGGAATTTGAGATTAAAGAGATTAAAATGCTCAGATTCAAATCCTGTCCTAGATTCATTTTATAAATTTTGTTAGCATTCAGTCCTCTTTATTTTTTTCCTTTGTTTATTCATTTCTGTTAATACCTTGGTGGGATTTTGATAATGTATAGCATGGCCAGGAAAAAAATCCTGTAGTTAAATGGAAGTGAAAAGTAAGGAAACTGGGTATTTAATAATCCTGTAACTATCGGGTTATAATTTCATGTTAGTTTGAAAACTGAAATCGTACTACAGTTTCCTCTGTATGGTTACAGAGTGTGTGCATTAATAATATAATGTAAGTTTACAGTTTTAGCCCAGTGGTGTTATAAAAGAATATTTGAAAGTGGTGGCGTTCCCTTTGCTGTTCCCTGTTCACAGAGTTTTTGCTATAGGTATATTTAAAACTCTAATCTCATAGAATGATATTATTTCTAAATTTTTATTTTAGATGCATTGTCACTTTTATATATTAAAATGCCTCACTTGTAATATGCATATGTTTTAATTAAAAAAAATGGGGTTTTTTAATAATCAAAGAGCAATTTAAAAAAAATACAGTTTTATTCCAGCTAGAGCTTGTAATATGTGGAGTTAATTTTGCTGCTTCCCTGCATTGTATAAATTGTATATAATTGTTTGGGTGGGGGGTTTAGGAAAGAGAGATTACATTTGTATTTACATTTAAGAATGCACCCTGCTAGCATATACGCAGGCATATGGGAATGAATGCAGTTGCCAGGAGCAGTATTGCAGCTTCTTCCTTGGGAAAGAAAGATGCCAGTAAGGAATTATGTAGAGTTGGCTTACAGATATAATGTAGCTTAGTGTAATCTATACCAAAGACTAACCAGTCTTAACTGTGTTGCAGAGAATGAGGCGTGAGATGTTACCAGTCAGATTGTAAAGTGTGGATGTAATGGTTGTGTTCTGTTGATTGTGCATTTCTGCTTCTTCCTCCCTCGTTCATTACCAAGTGTCTTCTGCCTTCAATTTGTTACCAAGTGTTCAGTTGTTGTCAATTTCCACGGTTTCAGTTTTGCCCTAAAGCAAAACACCTGATTTGAGTTAAGGTACATTTCAGTGCCAATTCAAGCTGATTGGAATCAATGCTGTTGTGTTCTAGTTCTCCTCTCAGTGCTACTGCATCCTGTTTTTTTCGGAGAGAAGGGTTTGTGATACAAGGAAAGGAAGGAAAAAAGTCTGGATAAAAGCAGGTGAAGGTAGAACTGTGGAAGCTTTTCCCAAAATTGTCAAAATGCACCTGCTGAATACAGTTTGAACAGGTGATTTGAGCTCAGCTTACAGCTCACTGCTGCCCAGAGGGGTAGCCTTGCTTTTTCTGTCCTCTCTCCTTTTCATCAGCTGTGATGTCTGTCACAATCGTTGCTGATCTTGCTCAACAAACCTGCTGGGCAGATAACTACCTGCTCTTCCTCTGCTGGTCTGTTTTTCTGCCAGATTACTGAATCAAATCAATTTACAGAAGGGTCCAATGAGGCAGAGCTGTGAGCTCATGCAGAGGGAGGCTTGTGTGAGAGAGCCTTTCTTCTTCAGGCAGTGGCTGTGAGCTGTAGGTTGGCTCACCATGTTCTCAGACCTGATGGAAGAAGGCTAATCTTCTCCCGCAGGAGTCAGGAAGAATTTTTTTCCCCCACTGATTTCAGTGAGAGTTGTACCTCTACTAAGGTAAAACTCAAGCCCTGAATTTTTCTGTTTACTGTTACTGGTTTTGTATCTTCTTTTGTAGTTTCTTATTACTACAGGGGAAAACCTGGATTACCTTGATGGTGTGCATACAGTATTTGGAGAAGTGACAGAAGGCATGGATGTATTGAAGACAATTAATGAAACTTTTGTAGATAAGGATTTTATCCCATATCAAGATATCAGGTGTGACTGCTTTTAACTTCCCTTTTTGAGGAATACATTATAATTAAACAAATTAATCTTTTTTGGAAACTGGCTTAATGTTGCAATGTCAGGTGACCTGTACATGATATCTTAAGTACTCTTTTGTTCCAGTATTATTGGTAAAATAAGCAGGTACTAAAATAAACAATTATATAAGAAAATGCGCAACTATATTTATTGCCTTTACAAAAGCATCAGTACTAGTATTTACAAGCATATAGTATGTTTGGTTGCTTGAGATGTAACTGAGAATCAGCGGGGATGGTTTTCTGTTACTTGGGTAAAGAGAGTTTTATTTGCATGTGACTGATGCAGCTCTTGTTTTCTATAAGGATAAATCACACAGTAATCTTAGATGATCCGTTTGAAGATCCACCTGGCTTGTCTGTTCCTGATCGCTCACCAGAACCTACTAAGGAGCAGCTAGATGTGAGTGTTTATGATAGTGTCTTGGGGAAAAGTTGGAAGAAATAATGAAATAAATTTACCCCTATTAGTGGCCAGCACAGACTTGATCAAAATAAGAATTCTGTCTTTAAGACTTTGTCTGTCAAATCTATATCATAAAAGAGCTACACACTTTTAGCATAGGAGGATAAGAGATGCTCTTCTACTGCACTGGCTTGAGTTCTGATATGTCAAATGCTTGTCTGTTATTTGGGGCAATTGCTGTGTTTAATCAAATACAGCTGCTTAATCTTTTCAAGAAAAGTATAAAAGGGTGACTTGGGTGCTCTCCTCTGTGACTACGGTGGAGTTAGGTTGGAAAGCCGTATTTTGGATTTCTAATTACACTGTAGATAAGCTGAACATTCAGAATATTCACTTTTGGCATTACTGGTTTTTGTATACTCCGGTAGAACACAAAATACAACTAACTTTTATTAAGATTAAAGTGCTTACTGGTGTTCTTTTAAATGTGAAATAGTCTGTGTTTCAGCGGAAGTAATCTTGGTCATTCTTTGAGTTACATCTGCAAGCATGCATACTATTTTGTATTTGTTCAAATAGAAGGAATTTGCTAAAAACATAATTGCAATTATTCATAACTTATAGCATGCAGTTATGGAAGTTATGTGAGATTATCTGCTTGTATGGAAACAGTTGTTTCAAGCAATGAATAAACTGACTAGAGAGAATATTGTTTGTTTTTAAGATTAATAGATCTAATTGCAAGATTGGAATTAGGCTTTCATAGTACGTCTGCACTGTGGTTAATCTTTCATGTACCTTCAGATATGTTAAATGGTATAAGGAGTTCGATAGCTCACTGCCAACATAAAGATTTGAAAACTTTTACTTAATTTTCTTCCCCTATAGTCTGTCTGAAGATAGACGTTTTGGTGTAGAAATGCCTGTAAGAAGGGCAGCATTGTAGAGATGCTGATGAGGAGAAAAAAACTAAACCTCAAATCCCGCCTAGATGTAGACGTGTAAAAAATATAATTCTTGTTGTGATATACTATGTTTAATGTTTGAGTTTACTAGACACCACAGATATTTGCAGTGTTCCTTATCTTAATTTCTGGTAGGAACTATCTAGATGAGAAATGAGTTGACGCTTGTGGTGAGATGTTGAGTATGAGATGGGAGTATAAAGAATTTAGAGTGTCTAACTGAATATGTTTCAGATTGGGCTTGAAAGTTCGTACATAGTTCATACTGCCTGAAACACGTGAGGATAGCATCTTCTCTCTTTTTTTAATGTAAGTGGAAAGAACAGAATGAAAGCCCAGTTTTGCAGAGCTGGAGTGCTTAAGCATTCTTCATGTTTTGGGGGGTGAAGAGTGAGGTCATCCAAGTGATGTTTGGAAAGTGGAAAAGAATTTTTGGCCATGGCTTGGTAACAGATAGCTTTTTCCTTCATTTTTCAGAGTGGCAGAATAGGAGCAGATGAAGAAATTGATGACTTGAAAGGACGGTCTGCAGATGAAATAGAAGAAGTTCAGGCAGAACAAGAAGCAAAAACTCGTGCCATTCTTCTGGAAATGGTGAACATCTTTTTGTATTTACCTTTTAGATGCTATTGCTCTATGTGTGCATATTATATTAAGTCTAGGAGGACGTGTAGTATTTGTCTTGAAATTGCTTATGTGCTAAAAATGTCATGAATCTGTGCCATTAAATATCTGTGGTACAATGAAAGGGATTGAGTGTGAGCACTGGAGGTGGCTTTCTGATAGAACTGGTGGTGTTTCATTGTTAAAGACAGGATTAAAAGTGGGCCAGTGGAGACTTTATAAAAATTTGCTGGAAATGCATCCAGCTAAAAAACATAACGTATGTAATACGCTGCTGAATATCTTGGAAGAGGTTTAGCATGTGTGGGAGAAAGCTCTGCGAATTTGAGATAATCTCTTCCCAGTACGTATAGCGGCATTGAGATTGCATTATTCATACATGTAATGGATGTCTTCCATCTGTGGCATTAGTTGAATTTGACATTGGTTAACTTCATGTTCTTCCTCCTTAAATATAATGTTTGGTAACTGCTGGCAGTTGTAAACTCCATATAGTAACAAAAACCTGTGAATGTACTTTGAAGTCTTTTTTTTTTCTTTAGAAAAAGAAAAAAAAAAAGGGAAAAAAAACAGCGCACACACTGCTGAAGGATGGGTGAATCCATCACACTTCTTTATAGCTACCAAATTCAAATCTATGGTGAATAGTTTACAGCACAGACTAATACCAAGGTCAGTCCAGATGTGGCCACAGTGTTGCAGAAGATCTGCAGGTGTGGGCCCTTGTTTTGCAGCAACGGTTGGACTAGTGACCTGTTTTCTGTATAAACTTGAGGTTAGCTAAAAAAGGCAAGTGCGGTATGTGAGCCAATGCAGTAATTTTCAGAGAGTATTGCTGGGTAGTATGCAATAAGGAGCTATGTTATACAAGCTGAAGAGATGAAAAACCAAGTGCACTGCTAGTTTCGCTGATTTGAAAACCCCCAGCTATTAATTCCATTGTTCTTTTGTTGAAACACTAAACTTCTCTGAGAGTGTCATCTGCTTAAATCTCTTTTGTGTGCTCTTTTGTGGAATCTGTTTCTTACTTGTGTTATTTTGCTTCTTTTTTCTATCAAACCAATGTGCGTTACCTTTTTATTAACTTATTAAGTAACAGATAGTGATATTTTAAACAATTTATCTCTAGTCTTTTGTTCAGGTTTTAAAAAGTAGTGCTGCAATTCAACAGAAGGTGATGTGTATATTTGCATTTTCCTCTGGAACTTAATTTGCTAGGTCGAAGACGGGAATTTTGATTCCCCCCTCCCTTCCCGTTTTGTGTATTGTAAGCAAATGTTATTTCTTAGTAAGCATGAATACTTTCTCCCTTCTGTCTGTCTGAACAAAGTTGTATAATTGCAACTTCTCATCCTTATCAAGCTATCTTAAATTTAAGCTTATCCTAGCTGTTGCCAGATTTCAAGGAAAGATAAGTTTATCTTTGGTACAGACAGAGACAAAGGAATGGATCCAGTCTATTTTTGTTTTTATAACAGAGTGGCTCTAAAAGAACATTTTCACCTTTTAGAACTGTGTATTTGTTATGTTATAAACAGGGAAAGCAAGGTAGTAAGTATTTGTGACTTTCATGAAGTCACAGGGGTGGCATTGCAAATAAATGATCATTTTTAGGTGTTAAGGAAAACACTTCTTTGTGATGTTGAGTAGAAAAATATTTCATTAATTTTTTATTTTCTGGTAGGAATGTGTCTGAGATCATCCAAACGATATGTTGCCAGTGTGCTTGTGGCAATAAAATGTAGAGAGCTTTAGGCAGAAGAGATTAAAAGTCTTTTTCCTGTATGCCACAGGTGGGAGACTTACCAGATGCAGAGGTCAAGCCACCAGAAAACGTGCTGTTTGTTTGTAAACTGAATCCTGTGACCACAGATGAAGACCTAGAGATAATATTTTCACGATTTGGTCCCATTAAAAGGTAATTGTTGTAAAGTAAAAAGGAAAACCTTCTTTGTTGAAACTGAACTTGATTCCTACCAGTCTATTTAGGTTTGGCTGTTGAGACGCCATACTGCTACTGTAGTCATTTATCCTGTGGCTGCATGTACTTGGATAGAGAGCACAACAATGGTGATACAAAGTCAGATCTAGCTAGATGAGTATCCTGTCCCAGCAGTGGTTTTAAGTGAAAGCCTAGGAAAGCATAGGAACAAGGAAAGTGTATGATACTCTTCCCAGTCCCCCGTCCTCTCGCTCTGCTCTCCCTATCAGCACTTTTTTATCTCAGATGCTATGCGAGCTACGTACAGTATCTGGGTTTTTCTTTTCTGTGGGAATATGTATGGTTTGGGATAAAGTGACAAACATTTCTGGCATCTGATACACTCCTTGTTAAGGTGTTCCTAACGCCTGCTGCCTTTTTCAGTTTTGAACTTTGCTCTTAGTAATTTTAGCTGATTCCTCCTAGTACTGGTATCAAAAGACATGATGGGCAGTGAAACCTACTTTCCTACACCTCACTGTCTTTTTTCCCTCTATGTCAGTTTGTTCAGTACCTCCTCTGAAGACCTTCCACTTTCAGATAAATTCTCTGAGTAATCCAGAGAGGAGGGTTCTGGCACAAGACTGTTCTACCTTCTTCCTCGCTGATGACTGCTGCAAATAATTTATATAGCTTGTCTGAATAGCCTTGTCTTCTCCTTTTTTTTTTTTTTTCCTGTTTTCCTTTGGTGGTTTTTTTTTGGGGTGGTTTTTTTTTTTTTTTGCATCTTGATCATCTCTTGGATTGTGTATCTGAATCCTGATTCATCACTTCTTCAATATACATTGGGGAGGTCTTACTTTATTAAATCTCACGTTAATACTGCATTTCCTGCCCTTGTTGCCTGTCTGACCACCTTCAATATCCTGTAGTCAGAATTCTCATGTCATATGCAAGAGTTTGGTAATACTGATGCAATACTATGTTGTTCCCGTTTTGCATCTGCTGATGCAATACTTTAGGCTTCTTATTTTGACCAGTGAACTGCCTGATAGGAAGGTGGCTGCTAAAAAGGCGCTTACTAAGAAGAGAAAGTTATCACATGATGTCTCTAAACTTTCTTTAAAATGACTGGGAAAACTGTGAAATTTCTTGTCTTGCATTAGTGAAATGCAAGAAGTCAATAACAGTAATGTTGGAAAATAGATTTTGTTTCATTAATCAGAAATTCATCCCTAGTTCTGTACTTCATGTGAGTTAAGTGCAATAATTACTAGAGTGATGTCGCATGCATTTTTTCTGTGCAGACACCTCCAAATCAGTATGGATCTCAGAATCAAGTGTTGTTATAATACCTTCAAGGGGGTTTTGTTATTTTGGGGTTTTTTTTAACTGTTTTTCTCCCTTTTAGGCAGTGCCTGCTTATCCTATGTTTTTTTGCTGCTTATCCTATGTTTTTTGCTCCAACAAGCATTGATGTTTTAATTTCTTATCAATTTTTCAGCTGTGAAGTGATTCGAGACTGGAAGACTGGTGAATCTCTTTGTTATGCTTTCATCGAGTTTGAAAAGGTATGTTTTTTAGGTATACTGTATGCCAATTCTGCTTGTAAAAGTTCATTCTAGATATATATTTCCATTACGGAAAACCAATGAATTCTTCAAGTTTGGGGTAGCTAATATTTTTCTCTTACTGTCTTAGTTATAGAAGTTGTAGGTCCTACATGAGGCAAACGTTTAAGCCTTTCTCTATTCAACCAAGCCATACAAATATGTTCCTCTTAAGTTGTCTTAAAACCAGTGGGAGGGGAGCAGGTTCTTTTTCTTTCCCTGAGCACATTAGGACTTTGAAGAGTTAAAGAAGGGAATGCTAGGAGAAAAAGGAGGCATGCTGCATAAAGAGAGGAGGGTGTGTGAAAGAAGGTAGATTCATGTGTACAGGAGTGTCCTGCATTGGGCTTGTAAATGATGCTTGCTTTATCAGCATGCTGCTTTCACTGTGAGGTTGATAGTAGAAGTTTTCTTGATGGTGCATAGCTTCTTGTTTTGTATCTGCTAATCTCTAATCTGTGAGGAAAACACTGGAGAAGTGTTCTCACTTTTCTTAAGCCTACTTATGTACTTAAAATGGAGCTTTTATTAGTTGTCTTTTTTTTTTCCTTGTTTTTCTCAATGTACTACATGCGTCAAACATGTAGCTGGATTGGCAAATTTTTAAAATAGTGAAATGAACTGAAGAAATGGAATTTGAAATGCTTACATTCGGACAAAACGTAACTATTTCTTTTGAAATGGCACGATGCAAGAATGTGCTTTAGTTAATGTTAGAAAAAAAAAAAAAGTATGCCATTAAGCTTTGAATTTGTGTTTGAGCTTTTCAGTGAATATTGCTAGGAAATAGTCATGACTCAAAATGTTCTGGAAATGTTAATATCAGGAGGAAGACTGTGAAAAAGCCTACTTCAAAATGGACAATGTGCTGATAGATGACAGACGGATACATGTGGATTTTAGCCAGTCTGTTGCAAAGATTAAGTGGAAGGGAAAAGGTAGGTACACTTGTGATTTGTTAGCCCTTATAACTTAATAAGCCATGACTTCTAAACTGTAAGCCTTATGTAAAGAGAAGCAATTTTTATGATCTTAAATTATTTCATCTTCGGGGATATGAATTTTCCTGGTACTATAATAGAGCAACACAGTTGCTGCCTCTTCTCTTCACTTGTTCCATAAGAAAGAGTAGAAGAGTTTACTACTGCTATATTAAGATTGCATTGCCACGGATTACTTTATCAGATACATTTTTGCCACTAAGTCACTTGTTTCTCTCAAGCTTTAAGAGTGATGTTTTTTTATATTACTTATTAGCAATATAATATGGCAGTACACTGTTAATTTCTAGTTTCTTTTCTTTATTCACTGTATGACAGCTGGGTGTATACAAGGAAAGGTCAATATTCAGGCCAGGGATTTCCCCTTTTCACCTCCTGTAGGTCAACCATATGGCACAGCAGGCTGTATGTTATAAAACCTAGTTTCAGATGTTTGAGGTGGTTCTGAGATGAAAAATATGGTGGGAGAGGTGGGTACAGTGGTTTTTTGGTTGTTGGTGATGTGAGGAAAACACTGGAATTGAAGACATGACTGTGCATTGCAGTGGTGATGTTCTTGTGTGTGTTCGCCTAAAAACGCAGTCAGCCCTCAACTGTTTGCATGTGATTTCTCCAGGTTGGGGACTAGAGGTACTAGACACTGAGGTACTACAACTTGTCCTTCTCAGAGCTGAGTTGACTTTGTAATCTCTACTATGCTCTGCAGTGCATTGTATGCTAACTGACTACATGTAAAACTTCTATTTATCTGGGTAACTTAGGTCTAAATTGTCTTAAATATTGGAAAGCTAACTATATTGTCATCTTGTTGTTCATATACGGTACCCAAAAAATGACCTAGGGGAAGTACTGTTCTTCCACCTTTGGTAGCTGCTTCTTGGAGCTTGACCCCTACAAATTGATGGGCCCTGACCATACCCAGCCAAGAGTGTCGAGAGAGCTGGCTGATGTTGTTGCGAGGCCACTCTCCGTAATCTTTGAGAAGTCATGGCGATCAGGGGATGTCCCAGAAGACTGGAAGAAAGCTAATGTCACTGCCATCTACAAGAAGGGCTTAAAGGAGGATCCAGGAAATTAAAGGCCTATCAGTCTTTCTTCAGTCCCTGGGAAAGTTATGGAATGAATCCTCTAGGGGCTATCACAAGTCCAGTGAAGCATGTGGTTGGGAAAAGCCAGCGTGGATTCACGAAGGGCAAATCGTGCTTGACAAACCTGATCACCTTCTACAACAAAGTAACCTGCTCAGTTGATGAGGGGCAAGCGGTGGACATTGTCTACCTAGATTTGATAGAATCATAGAATGGTTTAGGTTGGAAGGGACCTTTAAGATCATCTAGTTCCAACCCACTTGACACCTCCCACTTGACCAGGTTGCTCAAAGCCCCATCCAGCCTGGCCTTAAATGTCTCCAGGGATGGGGCATCCACAACTTCTCTGGGCAACCTGTTCCAGTGCTTTACCACCCTCACAGTGAAAAATTTCTTCTTAATATCTAATCTAAATCTCCCCTCTTCCAGTTTGAAGCCATTCTCCTTTGTCTTTCATTTCTCCAAGGCTTTCCCCACACCCTCCTCGTAGAGAAACTGGGGTGTTACGGTCCAGACAAGTGGTCTGTGCAGTGGGTGGGGAACTGGCTAACAGGTTGCACCCAGGGGATGGTGGTAAATAGCTCCTTTTCAAACAGGCAGCCTGTCACAAGTGGGGTCCCCTGCAGATCGATACTGGGCCCAACACTATTTAAGATCTTCATAAGTGAACTGAATGATGGGATCAAGTGTACCCTGACAAAGTTTGCTGATAACACCAAACTGAGTGGGGAAATGGATGCTTTGAAAGGGAGAGCCACCCTGCAAGAATACCTGGATAGGCTGGAAGAGTGGGCTAACAAGAACCTTACGAAGTTCAACAAGGACAAGTGTAAGGTCTGGCATCTGGGAAAACAGTCCAGGAATGCAGCACAGGCTGGGATCTACCTGACTTGGGAGCAGCTCTGTGGAAAGGTACATTGGGGTCCTGATGGACAAGCAGCTCAATGTAAAAGCGAACAGTATGCTGCAGCGGCAAAGAAAGCCAAGAGGATGCTGGGTTCCCTCTACAAGGGCATCACTAGCAGAGATAAAAGAGGTCATTGTCCCACTCAGCGCTTTTCAACACTTGGAATACTGTTAAAGGGTGGCTACAAAGAAGATGGAGACTCCCTTTTTGCAAGGAGTCACATGGAAAAGATGAGGGGTAACAGGTACAAGTTACTCCAGGGGGGATTCCAATTGGACATAAGAGAAAATTTTTTCACAATGAGCCATTAGAATAATCTCCCCAGGGAAGTGGTGGATTCCCCAACATTGGACACCTTTAAGATTCAGCTGGACAGGGTGCGGGGCCATCTTGTGTAGGCTGTGCTTTTGCCAAGAAAGGTTGGACCAGATGATTCTTGAGGTCCCTTCCAACCTGTTATTCTGTCCCAGCCTGTTAATATTGCAGTTTTAAGTGTGACCGTAAGATGGCAGCACATTCCTGTAGAATAGTTTCTTAATCTGTGAGCTGGTACTTTCCCGTGAATGGATGGAAGATGAAATCTGACATGCCTCTCTTTAAATCAAGATATGACAATTTTTATTCTAGTTTTCCATTTGAACTCCTAAGCTGTAACAGTCTCAGAGGTTTCCCTTTGTGCAGCCCAGAGCAAAAAGCCACTTAATAATGAGAATATTCTGTAGGCTTTCATGCTAACAGAACTTTAAGTAGTATGAGATAGGACCTGTAATCAAAGTGGGACTGAACCAGTTGCTAAATCCTGCTTTGTGATACTGTTCATGTGTTATCTCCACTGGACATGAGTGAGGAGAAAGCCCCATGTTGTTTAATGGGATCTGCAAGCAAGAGAAGGACAGAAAATCACAACTTGTCGTACTCTTTTCTGCTCCGTTACCCAGATGCCAGTGTTGTTTCTGAAACTGTATCCTGCTATGAATCTCTGTATGGTTATGAAGAGCCCTTACATTCATAAGCAGGACTTAGCGATAGGTGTGGGTCTTGGTTGTTTTTTCAGTTGGAGTGAATTGAATATATTTTTCTGTGGACAGGTGGGCGATACACCAAGGATGATTTCAAAGAATATGAAAAGGAACGTGACAGACCTTCAAAACTTGCTCTGAAAGAGAAGGTAAAACCAAAGCAGGAGTATCCTTTTCTGGTCAAAGGTATTTTTTGAACAAAGTACAGTTCATGAAAACAGGCTGGAAAAAAATTCTTAAAGCTTGCTAAATAGCTATTTTGCTGATGCTTCATATAACCATTTGATGTTTGACATGGAATTAAGCATTTTGCGTTTTTCATTTGATGACTTTGAATTTAGTCAAATCGGAATGTGCTGTTTCACTTCCATGTTGTGTGCAGGTAAATAATGTTCCCCGTGTAGAGCCCTGGAATGACGTACAGCGTAACAGAGTTTTAAGTAGTTTCACAGGGAACCTGCTGCATCCGAAACAAGACCACAGTAGTAACTAATCGTGCTCTGCAATTATACTTCGCTTGTGGCGAGCATGAGAGAAAAGAAGACTGTAGCTTGTTCAGATATCCACAGGTAGAAAAGAAAGGAGAATTGGGACCTGGCTGTACTGTTTGACAGGACAGAATTCAGTCATTTTAGCACAGCTGATTTTTTTTCAATGTGTATGATCTTCTTCTGACTGAAATACATCATAAGTGTTGATAAACTATGGTCTGATAAACAGGGATTTGTTTGTTTCGTGAGCTTTTATGTTCTGGTATTTATTAAGTAACAGATCTGTCCTTAACCAACACTGTAAGTGCCAAGTATGACCTGGTGCTGGATGAGGATATAGAAGAGTCTCAAACAAGTCAGTTGCACTTGGCTAAAAAGCAAAAGAAGAAAAAGCACCACCACTCTGATGATGAAGAGGATGACAAGAGGACCAGAAGATCTAAGGTACTTACCTCTTCATGCATTAACTTTATACACGTTTATTGTTCTTCTAACAGGAGAAGCCAGGGGAAAAAAAAGTCTGATATTGAACTGAGGACATGGCGTGCAAAGTCCTGTAAAATACAGCAGTTGTAAACGTACAGTAGGCTGATGTTACTATCTGATTATGAAAGAGGCTTTCCAAATCTTCCTGGACTTTTGAAGCTTGGCATGTCTGAATGGCTTTTTGCCAAAACATCCTGAAGAGGCAATGTAGCCTCTCATAAAGTAGATCTTCAGCACTTTGAACCTGTTGTTCACATATTCCCAGTCATAAATTAGTAGTTAATCATATTTCATGAATGCAGGCTATTTCTCATTGTCTTGCCAGACCAGCATGTGTTGTTTTTTTCCCATATGGAATCAGAAACACCATCTCTTTGCATTATCTTTTTTTTATTTTTCCTTAACTGTTTTGGAGGTGTTTGTGTAAAATCTGTATGCAGGTTTGCTTGCATCTGTATTGTGCAAGTGTACAGTGCTGTAGACTCAGGCTGTGCAGGAGATTATCAGAAGACAGTAGTTCTGTCTTTAATTAGTTCCACTGCAGGCTGTCAGGTCAGCACTTGGGATAGTCAAGATGTTGATGTTTCATGGAAACAATGTCTGAAATGATAAAGGGGAGGGTTAACCACCATTGAAGTGTGAGCATTAGGGAGAATTGAGCTAAGCTGAAAAACAAAAAAAAACCCCAAACCCCAATATTTTAACAATGCAAGCTTTATGAGTGAGAACAAAGCTGTCTTCTAGCAACTTTGCAGCAAGTGATAAGGTTCTAGCCACAGTAAATAAAGCCATTGTCCTGGCATGAGTTTTGAGTACTGTTTTAAGTTCTGTGTACAAAGAGCACACAGGATTCTGGTGTTCCATTGCATCACTTCTTGCTGTGATGCTAGAAATAACTTTTCTCATGAATGTTAGCAATTACATTTTTTCAGCGCCACTGGTGAGCTCTATTGCTCATTTGTCATACAAGTCTTTTTGTCACTGTTTGTATAATTCAGTCAGGATCTTTTGGGTGGAGAGGAGGGACCTGTTCAGATAATTAAAGTCTTGATCAGAGCATATACATACAAGAGTAATGTTGGTTTAGACTTCCTCCTATCTTTTTGGCTGATTGACATTGTCGTTTTAACATTCTTGAAACAGATATTTCTGGAAATAATCTTTGTTCTTGGTGGTTCATAAATTACACATCTGGAACTGGCTGGTCATGCGTTATCAGCCAAGAACATTTTAAAATTATTCAGGTGTCTCTACCCCTACAGGTGGTACAACGAGTACTGGCGGCAGTGGGCTGTTAACATCTGTATGTTACAATTGTTACAAGGGGGCTGCGAGATCCATTAGCAGTAGTTAAAAATGTGAAGACAGAGGGATTCCTGGTGCTGTTTCCAGACTCCGGAAAAGACTATTTTCTAGTGCTTTACTCTGTGATCTCTTCCACGTCTCTGTACATCTTGTTGTGATTTAGTCCCCAGTTCCTACTGTGAATTTTTCGTGTAGTCTACTGCTGCTGTATTCTGGTATCTTCTTCTTTCCCACTGCCTTCCTCTCTGTCGCTCACCTTTATCCCTTTTGGTGTAAATAGCTTAGCCTTCTTATGCCCAAAATCACAGGTGGAGACTTACTTCTATTCTCTGATAGCAAGCAACGTAGGTCTCTCTTGGAGCTGTGAAAATTAATTTCTGGGAAGAATTTTTTCTCTGTGTCTGCACTTGAATATTCTTGTTAGTATGTACTGTATAGTGTGGACATACTGAGCAGTATGTTGTCAGGCTGATTTAAGAGATTCAGTAAGTATCTGGGCATGGCCCTTTCCAGGTGAAATCTGTGGGCACTTTAGCTGAGAAATCCCATTTAGCATATACAAAATGTAATGAAAAAAAAATTTTTTTTTTTTAGATTTATAATTTGGGCATAATCTGGGGAACTCATACAAGAACAGGGAAAGGAGGCATGTTTGTGAGGCAGAGTATGTTCTGTGTGAATACCAAGGCCAGCACAAAGCGTAACAGTATGGAAACTTTTGATGAATGGTAGCATTTTTAGTATAGCCAAACAAAGCATTTTCTCTTAACCCTATTTTGGAAATATGAGAATATATTTGAGGTAAGAACTTTAAAACGAAACAACAGCAGACCTTCCACAACTAGTTGGCCAATGACCACAATAGCCATGCTTTGTACATAAACTTCCACCCTGAGGCCCTAGTGTGGCAGAGATTTTAATTAACAGAGAACAGGGTCTTACAATGGGAACTTCTGGCAACTGAAACTGCAGTTTGTGCTACCAGCTCCAGCTATGACTGAAGAGGTTTTATTTTCTGAATAGTTTCCATGATGTTGAGTTGTTTTTATGTTCTCTTGCTATTTTTTTTTGTGTATTGTGACTCATCCTTTGCTTGTCTGACACCCGTTTCCTGAATCTTCAGCCTCTGTGTTGACATTTTAAGAATATATTTTTGAATCTTGTGCTGTTTGACTTGATTCCAGAGGGTAGAAGATGTAGGGTGTTGTGGCTTGCCTTTAGTAGGTAACAGGATGTGGGTCTGGAGCAGGAGGCTGCACTGACATGGGGGTTTGTGAATAGAATTTGGTAGAGTTTTTTTTGAATACAGGTCATGCTTCTGCTTGAGATCTATATTATGACTTTGTTCTCTTTCCAGTTTTCTCTGTGGTTTTTGGTTCCTTGGATTTTTTTTTTTTTTTTTTTTTAAGATGACTCAATCCGTGGAGGAGTATAGCCTATCCAATAGATTTTTGTGAGACAGAGGGGCTTTCTGACTTTCAGGTTTCTGTAGCGCATGGTTTTGGCAGAGATACTGATTTTTCTGGTTTTAATTTCCTGCTCTTACTGTTTATTGGACGCTTTCTCTTTACATTCAGGGTCAAGTTTGATCAAAATCTCCCTCCTGCAAAGGCAGTCTCTATTTGTGTGCTCCTTTTAACCTTTAACTAATGTGTTTAATTTACCTAGAGGTGGCATATTTATTCTACTTTTGTGGTCATGGTATTTCTAGCTGATTTACCTGCAAGTGCTGTTTGGCAAGTTACTACTTTTGGCAAAGCCAGCCATGAACTTCCAGAGGGCTGTCTTTCCCTTTTTTCATTTTTCCTTTTTCATGTGTGTTCACCAACACAATGCTGGATTAAGAATTGGGTAGATCATCACTTACTTATTGATTGATGAGAGGCTGTGATCATGGGTTGAGAAATCTGGATTTCAGCAGTAAGAGAGACACTGCTTTTCTTCTTCCAATGGGAAACCAGCATGTTTCTGACTTGGATAAGGCATAAAATATTTGTTTTCAAAATACCATTATTTTTATCAACTTAAGAGTGTTTAAAAAAATTGACCTTTTTCTGTGCCAAAGGGTTTAAAAAGGTAAAATCTTATTTAAGGGGAAATGTAACCCATTTTTTGGAGGGAACTAAGATGCAATTCATTCTATTAATTCAAATTACTACCCTTTTTTTTCTTTTTCTTTACACTGTGATCATATTAGCTACTGTGAGGACCTTTTTGTGGCACTTTCAGGCTTGCCCAGTACACCTATACCTTAAGTGCTTCTGTGAAGGTCATTGTGCTTAGCTGGCTCCATTCTCATATGACTTCTTTTAATCCTTTCAGCAAATTGCCCTTTTCTGTGGCATTCAGAGTGGGCTACATGTTTTTACTTTCAAGTCTTCACTGACCTGTTCCCTACCTTGTCTTGGCCAGTAGCTTGTCTCCAGTGCTGGCTTGCTAGATTTTTCAGCTGAGTGCTGTTCTGCTTTCGTCCTGTTTCTCCTGTGTGCTGGGAGGAAGCTTTAGCAACAAAACAGCTAGAAGGCAGCAGTGCACCAAGCCCACTGTTTGTTTTTCTGGCCAATATTTTTGTCATGTTCCTCTCTACTCCACCACCAGCGTGTCCATCTTCTGATGTTAACTGGGGCCCTGCCACAAAGGGGTTTGGAACCTGTCGTCTTCTTCAAACATACAGAGACTGAGACTTTTGGGTGCAAGAGTAATATGGCTGTGCATCATTCTGAAGATGAATGGACAAAGCTCTTAAAAATATCTGGAAATATCTCCTTTTTGTTGGATTCAGATTGGAATGAGCATTTGGCCACCAGTGAGATTACTGTACACAGCAGTAGCAGAAATTTTTGGTTATGTAGATAAAGATCAAATCTGTGATTACTGATATGTGTGTTGATCCAGGGGGTTTATGTTGCTTATTCTAACTCCAGCATTTCAGCATTATCTGCATAATTCTAAAGGTGGTGTTTGCTCTGGGAACCATCCTAATCACTGCCTTTCTAGATAAAAGCTCTGCTTGGAGTAGTTTTTTCACTACTCTTTTAAATAGAGTTTACTTGTTTGTACATGTGGTATGGGTTTTAACCATACAATTGTGAATACTACTGTCAGGAGTACATATTTAGGGAAATGAAAATCGTATCCGAAATTAATAGTTTAATGCAGACATTTTTCGTAGTTCATAATGGTCTGTGTTTAACAGTGGTGTTATTAAAATACTGTAAAAAGGTATCTGTCTACTAGAGCATATAGCAATACTAAGCATTCAGGTGATCATACCTTCAACACAAAAGTGCCTTTCACTTTCTTAATAGCGAGTTGTATATGTATCTTTCTGCAGGACTCTGAAGCTCCCTCTTGTATTTTGTTTGCTTGTATAGCTTAGTTGAATAATAAGAACAAAAAAATGTCAAAACTCAGTGTTGTCTGTTAAGAAAATTTTAGCAAGATTATGCTGAGCCATAATCTTGTTAGTGTGATGTTTCACCATCTGAGAATTGAGCCATCTTTCCTTCATTTACTAATACACTGTCTCAGTGGCTTCATACTCTCTGTCTAGTGAAACAAGTAAAGCAGGTGTGTCGACTGACAGCAATTCCTCCTTTGTTACACAAACTTCATTTCTCTCCAGAGCAAATCCATTGTGTGTGCTGCGCAACTCAGTCAGCATTCTTGGTGACGATATGCAGAAATCCAGGGAAATTCAAAATTTCCTCATTTTTGGCTACATGAATTTGCGGCATTTTTCTTAGAGTTTTGAGTGTGTGTGCTCAGACACCATTACCACTTACAGTACATACTGTTGGTCTCTCCTTTTGAGGCCATTTTAAATCAGACAGATTTGCACCCCTTAGGAGTTTACTATGTCTGTGCATGAGTGTATCTTCATCTGTTTTCTATATGGATCATACCCATCAGCCTGCAAAATACAACTGATCTTTCATTACCTTATTATTGTTTGACTGTACATTTAAAAGGATCGGATTCTTCATACTGCCTTTACTTGTGGACTGTTAGCTTCAAGGAAGTGAAGTAGTTTGCATGTGTCTGTGTAGTTTTGGTCTTTGTAACGGTGTCGCTCATTTTTACGAAGCTGAGAATTTAGGCCATTAAAGATTATTATAGACAGGTCTTAAAAAGTGTTCTGCATCTTCATAGCACTGGAATGCCTGTGAGGCTTGAACCAAAACCTACGATCGCAGTACTTTCATTACCTAGATAAGAGATCAAAATCACATCTAGCTTAGAAGCTTGTGTGACGCTTATGAAGAGTTTGATAATCTCCATCTGAGTTGAGTCTCTGATAGAACAAGTTTTTGCGAAAGCTCCTTAGGAAATACAAGCAGCAGCATGCCTGGCAGCCATGCTTTTTTCCATAAATGCCGACAAAACCTGTAGATTTACCTTCTTCATATAGTTGCAGTGGGTTTTTTTATGTGTTACCTTCTTCAAATCATCACGGATGTGCATCTATTTCGGGTAATACCAGCCTTAGCTAAGGAACCAACGATGCTTGACTCTTTTCTAGTTCTCTTCATGCCTTTGTATATTTTCCCCTTTTGTCTGTAACTGCATATCTGTCCAATTCCTTTAACAGGATTCTGATCGAAAACATGAAGGAGAGCGCTGTAGAGAGAAGGTAAAGAGTGAGAAGAAAGACAGGCATCGGAGTCGCAGCCGATCTCAAGAGAGAGATTACACGTACAGCAAACAAAGAGACAAATACAAAGAGGACTCCCGAATAAGAGACTGGGATAAAAAAGCAGACAGAAGCAGAAGTCCTAAGAAATCAAAAGACAAAGAGAGATCCAAGTACAGATGAAGGACAAGGAAGAAGAGAGCACGGGGAACTAGAATATGTTTTCTTCCAGCATTTCCAACATTCTCTCAAATGGACGTGCAGTTACTGGATAACAGTAGTTGCCTTCTGTTGGCAGCTTGGCCTTATAATTCTATGAATGCCCAGCGTATGACTGTCGGAGTAAGCTTTGATTCCAAAAAGGTTGTTTCAATAAAGTATTTCACATTAGTGAAAGGGTTTAAGTCTCCGATAAGGAATGTTGTCTAAAGCTTTTTGGAAACATAAGTGTCCACCAAGTGAATTGCCCTTCTCTGCTGTGAAGAGATTTGCAGGACATACCTCCTTTCTACAAGGAGGTTGTATTTATCTTTCAGCATTTTCACATGCTTTGGCAATGAGTGTGATAGAAGACCTGGGGAGACACAAATGTTTTGTGCACGCTCTTTCCAGAGAGCAGGCAGATACCATTTGTATATGAATACTCAAAACTCTATTTCCTTTCTTTAAAATTAACTGCTTCTGGTTGGCTTAGTCCTGGCACCTGTTTGCTGACACCATTGTGCAGCAGTGGTTAAAGGCACTGAAGTTACTGCTGTGCTGCTTGCAAGGGCGATGGAAGTGCTGCACCATACTAAATCACTTGCGCTTACTTGCTCACTTATTCACACAGATCACTTGGCTGTGTGGCATTGCTGGAGGATCTCTCTCAAAACTGAGATTCACTTGAACTTGGCCCATCTGTAGTCTGTTAAAGATCTGGCCTCTGTCGTGTCAGGGCGATCCAGCTGCGATGATGTCAGGCAGGTTATGTTGGGTGGGTAAGAAAGAAGAAAATAGTCATAACCAGAATTAGCAGAAGTACAGAATTTGTAACTTGCATTTGTGTTTGCCAAAGCCTAGGTGGGGTTAATTTTCAGGTTTGTGGCAGAGGTTAATAACTCTTGATCTACAGAGGAACATAGGTGGTGTTACCAGAGCCTGGGTCCTAGTGGAAGTTGGCAGGCTCTTAAAGGTCTGGCTTGCTCCAATAAACAAGACCTTGCTGTTTCAACAGTGTTAGCCAGTATGTGTACATTTTAAGAACGTGTATGTCCTCCTCTTAAACTCTAGAAGAGGAGAGATCTTGCATTGTTTAGAGGGGAGGGGGAGACATGGGGAACAGTATTTGTCTTTCCTTCCCCTCCATGGCATGTGTGATAGCTTGGAGGCAGTCTGTTTTGATGAATAAATTTCACTTTTTTCTTTTATGATTGTGTTTTTTCTGTAATATTTGCTGTAGTGTCTGATTGTAATATGTAATAAGGTTTTATAGCTTGATACCCCCCATTGAGTCATGATTTGCAGGACAAAGACTAAATCTAAAATTCAAGGCAGCCAAGAAGAGTCGCTGCCAACTTCTGTGCCCTGGAGGGCCAGTAGCTGTGCCTGGCTGGGGCATGTGGAGGGACTGCATGCAGAAAGTGAACTTCTGATAAGGTAATTCTACAGGAAGGCTGGTGCTAAAGGAATGAAAGCAGCTGTTTAACCCACAGCAGAAAATTCTGACTAAGCAGGCTAGGCCAGATGCCTCGAGTAGCCAAATCCGAGCTGATGGAGAACGGGGAGGGTATTGGATGCAGGAATGTGCTTTCCAGAGGCATCTACCTGTCCAATCTGTCTTGGATTTGTTAAAGATTAAGTGTATTTGGCTAAGAAGCTGCCTTTTGCTGAATCTCTCCTTTCTAACTTCTGTGTGCTTCGAAGCCTGGAACTAGAAATGCAGGGTTTCCATAACTGTCTCCTGACAAAACATTTCTAAGCCAGCGGGGGACTTGCAGGGGCCCATGCAGGCTGTGCAGGGTCCAGTCCCAGAGGAGCAATAAATGGGAAGCCTGCGCTTGGGAGGCTGTCGGGGGGCCTGGGGCTGAGCACTGCTCACTGTTCCCATTGGTTTCTGCCTTCGGTCTGGGCATAAGACGACTTCCAAAGAACTGTACTATTCCAGGATATGATGCATTTGGGGTAGTGCTGCTGAGGTTTTCTCTAGCTAGCTTTTCTCTAGCTCTTCCTGCTTTTAGGCTGCTTTGTTAAAGAGACAGGGTTTGCACTGTCATGCTGTCTTCAGTTCTTTCCCACAGCATGTTTTTAACATGCAAAAAACACTGGCCAAATTTGACAAGGATGTGGAGATGGTAAAGCAATTGAGTTCTTGCTGCTTTTAGGCAATGGCAAGCATAGAAAGAGGAGGGGGGGAAGCTTCCACTCTAAGAGAAGCTGGATTCTTGCTGAGCACCAGAGATCCTCTTATGGGAGAGGCGACAAGAGTGACTTAACAGCATGAAGAGTCTGAGCAGGCATTCCTAGGCTTCAGCTAGCCGCCCGACCACCTGTGGGACTTGCAGAACTTCTTGTTTAGAAAAGAACACCCCATTTCAGGTGGATGTGGTCACTTCTCTGCGGCAGAAATGGCTTTATTCTTTCTTGTAATGGGTAAATGCCTAAGAACTGAAAGTTTATATGAGTAGTATATGGAAGTAAATGGTCAATTTGCATTGGTGGCCAACGAATCTTCAGAATAAAAGGTTAAAAAACAAATACATGCAAAAGGTGTATGCTTTAGTGCTTTAAAAAATATAACCAGTGTCTTCAGAATGACAAAGTTACCTCTTTATATTTTTAAGATGAAACTTTCAAACGTGGATGTTTCCAAAATTATGTGACAGCATAAAATCACCCTATTTGAAGGCAAGTACTTAATTTTAGGTACTGCTAAATAAGACTGCATTTCTAGGCTACCCTGCTAACACTGTGGAGGGGTCACGGTTCACCTGGTACACATGTGGATGGCCGAGCACTCCGAGTTGGATGGGATTTACTGCTACGGTCATCGGAAGTTATCGTTGCGTACATGTGGTTCTTTTGGAAATGACACGAATGAGAGGTATGGTCAGTTGAAACCACAAACACTTCCTGCTGTTCCTGTCCTGCCAGAGGTGTTGGAGCGGGCAGGACTTTTTATTATCCGGGAGCTGGAGAGTTGACTTGTTTTATTCTAATGAAAGTTCACACTTCCCTGTCCTTGTTTCCTTTTCGTCAAATGCTATCTCCAGCCTTAGTTTCAGTATTGACCTTTGGTGCTTGTGGTAGTTAAAAAACAGAACAGAACAAAAACCCCCACCTTCCTCTATAATGTTGAGAATAACTTTGAAAATGTCGCAGCAGAAACATCAGCTGCTTCATTTTGACTTAGCTGAGGCCTGTTTGAAGGGGAGCTCTTCATGCTTTAGGCTCTCTGTTCACAGGTTAAAGGCTTAAAACCAGCTCCTTTATAGTTTTTTCCTGGATTCCCTTATCTCTAGCAACTTAGAAATAACGATGCAGACTCTATGAACTCTTGCATTCCATGGATAAGAGGAAGTTAGAGACCTTTTTGGTAGTCATGCATTGCAGTTCCTTTAGTTCTCAGTAGACTTGAGGTGGACTTGACCAAAACCGTGTTAGGAATGGGGTCTGGTCTTAAAGCACTAAAGGCAAGTGAGAGAGGCTGGGGTTTTGCAACAGAGATGTCTCTTCAATCCCGTGGGCATCACGCAAGTGAGCAGAAGGAGCATAAGTATCGTATACAAGTGGTTGGTGTTCCAGGACGGGTGACACAGTAAGCAGTTACCCAAAAACATTCATGATAACCCAGTGCTCATCCCGGTGTGTGCTCTGCCTGATTGCTGTCGGCCTTCTTGCTGGTGGCTGCCTGTTTCTTTTCTCAAAGATCTCGAGCGTGTTTATGAAACTCTGAGTATAAACCCAGGCTGTGCTCTGGGTGGGTTAGGGAGCCAGCAACACATAAGTGTTCTTCATCAAAATGCCATTTTGGTCTGATGACTTGGTGTGTTTGCTCTTCCATTGGGATGTGAGCCCAAAGAGTTCTGCGTAGTCCCTTGGAGGGAGCATGCTGTGTGTCCCTGGTTCTGGGCTGCCAAGAATCTTTACTCTCTGTCAGTAAAGCTGTACCTGCTTCCTTCCATTTGTCAAAAAAAACCCAACAGCCACTCAAACAAACAAAAAAAACAAACCCAAACCAAACAAAGCACACAGCCCCCTGCCCCAAACTGTTAGTTATTTGGACAAGAGTTTTGATTGCACATTTAAGAAGTTACATTCAAAACTTACAAGAAGTTCAGAAGCATTTCTGAATCTGTTGCTGCTCTTACCTTTGTTCATCTCACCCTCCTATAGCCTGATTTCCTTCAGATAAAACTTGTATGATCTTGACAACAGGATTACAGGTTTTGCTTGTAAGCTTCCTAGAGCGTGGATAATGTCTCTCCCCCTCTGTCAATCACTTGTTGTGTACATAGAGATAGCATAAGCAATTTGAGAAATGTTAAATTACACGAAGATTTATGTGATTACTTGATACAGGGCAGTATTTTTGTGTAAAACTCGGTCTGGTTGCTGATGGAATGTGGATTTTCTCCATGAGCAAGCCGGTAGCATCCTGGTTAAACACGGTAGCTGTGTTAAAAGGCATCAGAAAACCATCTTAAAGTTTAGGTCTTCCAAGCATGCAATAAATCACTGAAGCTGAAAGGCGGTTCCAAGAGCTTTCTGAAATCTTAAGCTGAACAGCAGTAAACTTTTGAACTTGAAACTTGTTTGGGACTTTCTGATTGTAAAAGGTGCTTTTTATTATAAACCCAGCGGAAAACACTTGAGTAATAGCAGTATCTTTTTCTATAAAAGGCAGAGGAAAAAAATAGATATTTTAGGCAAAACCAAGTTGGGATCCTGCTTCATTAGATCTTAAAATGGGATTGTAATTTTCCAAGAAGTAGAAGTAGTTACCCTTGGCTCTACTATTGAAACCAGTTCTTCTCTGTTCCCGCTGTTCTGTGGTCAGACAGAGTGCTCACTACTGGCGCGTAGTTTTGGGGAGGGAGGAAAGGTGATCATTTTGGCAAGTATGTAGAAATACCTCTTCCGGAGATGCCGGCTCTTTACCAGCATCAGTACAGGATTGCCTAGCAATAACTGATGCAGCGCTCTAGCAGGACCTGTTAAGTTAGTGATGTACATTTTTGGGGTGAACACCTGTCTCCAAGTCAAAATTTCCACTGTCCCTAACAGGGAGAGAATTTCACTGGCAGAAAATATCTAGACTTTGCCTAATAATGTGTAAAAACTGTATTTAACGTTGGGAGTGTAGCTCCTACTGTGTAACGGTGACTTCTTGTTCTTAGCGATCGGGAGATTGA